AGCCAATATTACCTAGGATTCTTGCAACAGGATGTTACTCCTTAAAACAACTGACAAAAAACTTTGTCCTAAATAATCCTTGATTTATTTTTATGGCCACAGTAACCAAATGATCCTGGTTGGAAACTCGTGGCCACTGTTGTTTCTATTGAGCCATAGGTTAGAGTCTTTGTGTCACTGAAAACCCACACCGTGTAGAGCAGTTAATGCACGTTCAACATGTTGAGGCCTCGCATTGACGTGTTGTAGTGATTTGGAGACGAAAGCCACTTGAGGTCTCATCCTCGACAATCGATCGTAGTTCCAAAGGACGAGGTCAATCACCAATAACCCTCGTGTTGGGTTGACCTTTATAATTCATAATTTAGACTATGGAAATGAGTGTTGGGGTTGAATCCATAGAGTTAAGTCTTGTGGCTTTAGTGTGTGAATTGTCGTTGTCGAGTGTCAATTGATGGAAGTTTCTGCAGAAGTATTAGGCCTCTCAAAGGCACCCCATAGAAATTCGACAAAGGTTAAAAAAAAAAGCTTAGGCATTATTTTCATCATCATACCTCAATTCACTAGACCAGTAGTCCATTGTGTTAAGACAGACATGAGTATTCTGTAAAAAATAAATAGCCCATCCTATGTAAAAACAAATTATAAGCTTTTACATTCAATATATAACATAGAAAGTATTTTTTCATTCTTTAAAGATGTAATCCCCGAGTTTTATTGTAAAATCCATTTTTAAGCACTACGTTTGGATCTGAACACATTTAAAAAGCGCAGAATAAATAATTTTAAGAAATTCTCTTTTATGATAATATAATGTGATTGTGCGCATTATAATATATATAAATTATAAGGCGCTCAAAAATACACACAAGAAAATAAAATTAAACCGTTTTGTGGGTTTTAATTAATATCGCTCAATAGTTACGCTATGCTAATGCTAGCAGACAGTAATTTTGAATCGTGTAAATGAACGATACCGATACTGTCAACTCATACATCTAACTTCCACATCATGTGAGGATTTTGTGGCTCATTTCAATTAAAAGAGCGCACCCTTCTCCATTATTCATTATGACGGCAGCGACTAGTACAGCTTTATTTAACTAACGAATAAGGATTTAAGAGCAAGCAATAAAATAATTACTTAATTCTCCATCTTACGTAACTTGTTTATTCAATTATTTCACCACGCGATTGGGTATATATATACCTTGTAATTTATAAATTCTCTAATACGACTTGTGTAAATAATAGAACGGAAATAAACTTATTTTAAGCAATCTCGATGAGTTTAAATCATTAGATTTGACTAACAAATAAGTTGGCACTTATCTGAATATGAAATAATCAGATTGTGAAGAGATCTCATAATCTATCCTTTCTTGTAAACCTAGAAACAGACATATGAATGTTCATTTCATTAGGATTCGACATTTTAGCATCCATGAGAATTAATTATTTCAAATCCAATGCGAACTAAAGCTGTGAATTTTACATTCAATATTCATTTAACAAACGTAAACGTAAGAGGATTGGAAGAGGTGGATTATGTCGGTTTATTTTGAAACGCCGGATCTTTTGATTAATCTCTCTTTCCGCGCGGATTCTCCTCTCAAAAGTTCACCCTTCTTAGCCATTTTCTAATTTGCATTCGTTCGCTCGCATATTTATGGATTCACCGGGAAATTCTTCTCAAAGGAAAACATTTAAAAGAACAGAATAAATAGAACGGAAAATATGAATATAAAGCTCTTCAAAATCCGTTTGAGAGAGTTTGTCTTCATGGTGAAAAAATACTTGATCATTTATGAGAAAAGTGTTTTTAGAAACAGAATCTATGCAAAAAAGGAGAAAAGCAACTCAATCATCACGAGATCTCCGGAACTATTTAACACACATATAGACTTGAAATTAGGTAAGCATGTTTCTTTCATTGAGTAGAAATCCGCTAACAATAGACTTTGCGGGAATTGATTCCCAATAGAAGTCTTGAAGGGTTAAGAGGCGTTATAGGTGAATATATATATTCTAGTTTTTGAATTATTAGATCTACAGACGTGAAATTTGGCAAAGAAGTTTATTTTGTTTAGTAGAGATCCACGGGATTTAGGGGAATTCAACTTTGAAGGGTTACAGGTCGTAAAAGATAATTATACTTCAGTTTTCACAATTCAAGTCCTTTCCTTTTAAATCAAGAGGTGTATGAGGACTATTAGAATGTTTTCCAGTACGACTGAATGCTTAAGGCTGTTTTCGGTAAAAGTAAGAGAGCTTGAACTAAACGCGAAGCACATTTTCAGACAAAAAAATGCCTCAATTTCTATAGAAATTTGCATTATTATAACTCATACCTTTGTTAACAATATAGTGATTTTAAAAATGCCAAAATATTCCATGAATACTTTCTTTTTTGTTGTAATACGTGAAGGCATGGCTCATTTAACATTACGGTATAGGAAAAAAAGCGCGAAACACATTTTATACCAGAAAAAATGAATAAACTCGGTTATAAGCGGGACGTATAATAAAAAATTCTGTGTGCTCTCTAAAGGATAGTGAAGCCAGAATATCATATTAATGTTTCATTTCTTTTATATCTGAAAAAATGTTCCAAATTTGGGTCCTATTCTTTAACATTAACCGAAGACAGCCTTAATGCTAGGATATTTTAATAATTTATCAAGAATATATAATCATACAATACGAAAACCCAGTAAAGAGGGCGGGTAAAGATTAGTATTTTATTCTTGTTATATTTTCCTTGTAAGATTAGAGCAAGAACTATGATGCTGTTTCGACTGATTAAGAAAAAAAAGCATTTATAAAGGGTGTCCCAAAATTCACGCAATGTTTGAATTTGTTTGCATGAAAGTGTTGCCAAAGAAGAAAAAAAGGATCCCATGACAGTTGACAATGCAGGATTATTAAAAATGGTATACTATACGAAAGAACAATTCGCTTGCATTGTCGAATATTTTAAAACATACGTGCTGGTCACATAATTTTCAGTTTTGGTGTTCAGAATTTGTCGCCTCTCTATTGGTCGTGTAATTTAGTGACGTTTTGGTTTTTTTTATTTTTTTTTTATTTTGGGAATTTATGAAGTGTAATCTCCTATGACCATTCACGTTTTGAAGAAAATTGAGCCCTGTATCAACGAAATATAGCCACATTTGGGAAAAATGGCCATGGAAAATTTCAACTAAAGAATGGATATTGGGCCAGCAAAACCGTATAGCTGTACCCAATATGCTATATATATATATAGTCTAATTCTCTACAAACGAGAGAAACATCCATCAATCACATTCGAAAAACACATAGAGGTAGGAAAATCGCACAATGAAGGACACATGAGCAACCGAGATTAAAAATTATAAAATAGATGTTGCAGTATTATAAACATTGCTGACTTAGGACAGCTAATATATAAAATAATTTATATAAAAGCGGGATTGAACATGTTTTTTGGGCAGCCAACCTTTCCCTTTTATGTAAAAAATACTGAGCAAAAATCTATTGAAAGTAATGGATAGGAATATCTAAATTCATTACAAGATAGAGATAACTTACCTAAAAGTTGCACTTAAAAATGCAGGGCCCAAGCTAAATCTGAGTGCAATAAATAAGTTATTGCATATATATTATATATATATATATATATATATATATATATATATATATATATTCTATAACTATATAGTATAAAATAAATTTCTCCGAATTTCCCCATATTATGAGAAGACTCTCAAGTTAAGTTAGATTGAATGAACAATTACTTTCATGAGATATATTTTCCAAGATGGATATCGAATCTACAGCCTTACAACATCAAAGAGAGCCCAGATATTTATTTCAGTTAGGAATTTTTGGAATAAAACTGGCTTTTGATTGATTCACACTTTTCAATATACTATGGCTTCTCCATTTCAAATATTTCGTGACTTATTTGATTTTTTTTCTGAAATTATTTTTCACTTTTCTGAATAATAAATTAAACTGGTGCTTTTACACTTCACAAATAATCAAATCATCCACTTTTACTTGCTCAAGTTACAATTTTAAAGCGTAGAAATCAGTTATAATACGCAGAATATTATTCTTGCATTATTAGTCTCAATGTATTATTTGCTTCCCCTAGTGTGCTGTTTGTTTGATACTCTTACATTTTTACTTCTTTAAGAGTTTTGTTACCACTTTCCACTTGAAATCAGTTATTCTACAATTAAGTGCATTTTGACAAGGATTTTAAAGAATGAATAATTCAATGCATCTATATTAAGGGGAGAGACTGAATATTAACGTCGCCCTCTTTAGCAACTCGAGGACTTTTGGCGACGGACTTCGTCCTTTTGAACCAAGCTCAAGTGACGAGGACGACACCTGTGGTGGCACCCCCTCTCTTAACTTGCATGCCCCACCAACGGGAGGACGTTTGAGCTCTGGACCGATTTAACGTGCATCGCTGCCCTACACGGCAGGTCTTCAGCAGTACTGGGCTTCAACTCATGAAACCCCGGGCACGAGTCCGTTACCTTGACTACCGCGACCACATCTCTATCAGGGATAACTGTGATGTGCCAAACCAATAGGACTCAGTGTGCCACACAGTAATAAAAATTTGAAACAATTCCATTCCGACGGCAATGGATACAGAGTTAGGAATACAAATTTCCAGTTTTATAATATTAATTTTGCATCACTGAAAGAAATTTATTAACATAACAAAAAAATAATTAAGTCAATTCCTGCTTAGGTCAACAAATAAAATTTTTATTTTAGTTATTTTTATTGAATAATTTCAATTAATATAAATATGTATATACACATATGACAGAAACACATTATTAAGTGGCAAAATAGAAAGTGATTTTCCATTTTCCTTTCTATATATAGTGTTGGACTATTATTTTTGTTTGTTACTATTTATTCATTAATTAAATTTAACTATTCCAATAAAATAGTATAGAAAAAAGAAATCACATTCTCAGAAATTAGGCTATCCCAGGTGGGATTCGAACCCACGACCTCTGGATTAAAAGTCCAACGCGATATTCATTGCACTACAGAGATACAATGAGCGATTTTCCTTTTTATATAGGGTGTTGAACTATTATTTTTGTTTGTTACTATTTATTCATTAATTAAATCGAATTAAGGAATTAATGTTTGAAAAAATTGAATTAACATCAAGTGCCATCCAAAACAAGTTTAAAAAAGTGTATTTGAACTTGAGTGGATGAATAAAATTATTTTATTAACGATTGAAAATTTGAGCAAGATACACACACATATATATATATATATATGTGTGTGTGTGTGTGTGTGTGTGGAGAGTGTGAACTAATAGTAGGAATTGAAAAATAGGTAACAAAATATAATTATTCTCTTAACATAAGTAAAAAATTAAAATTTTAATACGAACCTTGTCCCTACTTTCTACTTAATAATATTAGTATAATCTGTGACTTTCAATTTCCCACATGACTTTGAATGTTCAGTTGTTAAACAACTTTGTGGACTCAAAATATATTTCATATGAGATAAAAATTTGTTCATGTATTTATATAGAACCCAAAACGGAAAGCATAGCTCATGCAATTTCCTTCAAACAATTCAAGTGGCCGCGGTAGCCGAGTGGTATAGGTATAGGTATCGAATCGTGGCTTGCCTTGTCACGAGTTCGAGCCCGGTACCACTAAAGACCCGCCGTGTAGGGCAGCGATGCATGTTAAATCTGTCGAGAGCTGAAACGTCCTCCCGTTGGTGTGGTAGTTAGGAGAGGGGGGTGCCAGCTCAGGTGTCGACCATGTCACTTGACCATGGTTCAAAATTACGTGGTCCGTCGCCAAAAGCCCTCGTGTATCTGAACAGTGCGACATTAATATTCAATCAACCAATCAAACAATTCAATCGATTCGGCAAAGTACAGCAATTCAAAATAGCTGTCGATTTATCGATAGAGTTATCTTCCAGATCTTTCCATAATTCCGCAAATTTAGCTTTCAATAACTCTGAAGATTTTCTTTTTCGACGCAGCAATGAGTGATGCTTCATTTTACAAGTATTACACAATCGTTTTCGTTTGAATTGAATATTTAACGCGAAGAATGAGCCACGTTTAAAAAGAAGATGTGTTCTTACATACATTACACAAACTACACGTAAGCAGATTCAGCAGAATCTTTTTATGGTAAGAAAATTGAAAGTAAGAAATAGTTTTTATGCGAGAGGCATAGAGAAAACAGAAAGAGAGATTTAACTTGGTCTCATAACTTTGTAGAGTGCCACTGAGAACTTCTCCTTGTGCCACATGTGGCACGCGTGACATAGGTTGCCGTCACCTGATCTATATCGTTTTTTAAAAAAATTCCAAATTTTAAATCGTATCAAGGACGAAAGAAAATACAGTCTATTGAGAAATTACTAAATTTAAATGTATGTACTATTTGAACCTTAAAGAAAAACGATGAAATAAGTTAATTGTGTCAGGAGATTGCCCGTAAGGAGCGAAACTTGTAATATATAAACATATATTTATTGATGCATTTTCATCATAAACTATTTAATAACCGAACGTATGCTTTTGTTATTGTTACTAATGCCACCTGATCGGCAAAGGCCAGATCGAGACCCACGAAATTCATCATGGTTAAGGGCTAAGTGACGCCTGTCGTTAGCCGTAGCTTTGAGCAACATACAGGTGACAGTACGATTTGGCTCGGTTCCACCCCAATTTAGAGGAGGAACACCCTGGGAGTGGTCAGAGGCCTCCCACCTCTCTTCCCCTTCCACCAACCTCACGAGAGGACTTGCGGCTCGACGGCTATTTAGAGTACCCCCATGCCACGAAAGCACTATACATTTACAAACATCCATGTCTTCTCCGGGATTCGAACCCAGACCCTACGGCACAGCAGTCAGCGTTGCTAACCACTATACCGGATGGGCGACTACGTATGCTTTTAAAAATGTTATTGCTGTATAACAAAATCTGATTTAGAAATTTATTTCAGAGGTCAACTCAACCTGTTTCATTAAATGCTTTACGAATTAATTTGATTTTGTAATTAATTCTGACTTCCTTTTTTTAACACTGTTTCCATATGTAACGTTGTATGAATTGATAGCTTTAAAAAAGGGATGTGTGATTGTCCCTTGAATACAATCCGAGTAAAGGGCATCCAAAAGAGTTAATAATGAAGGTTTCGGTGAAATGACAGTTTTCCTGATTTTTAACATTTTTGTTGATACGTTTAAAAATATTTCAAAACATTTTCAAAACTTTGAAGAAAAAAATGTATTTCTATAGAAATTTTCATTTTTTTTTTTTTTTTTTTTTGTTTAGTTTTTTTTCCTCCATCAAATGCACTTCGCATTCAAATATAGTACTAGCCTATATTTGAAGAGAAAAGCAAAATTTCTAGAAGAATTAACATTACATTTGCCCGAATTCCAAATGGTTGATAAACAGGGGTTTAAAGACTGCAAACTCTATAGTTAAAATTTGAATCAAGTGTTGATTCCACCAGTCACCGAAATGTTGTGCTGGACAGTGGAGATGTTGTGTGTGTGAAATTTTACTAAGCATCAAAAGATGCGACTAATTGTTCACTAACGTCGCACTCCGTAATACGAGGGTTACCGGTGGCAGGAAAGAAACTAGTCCATGGCTAGTAAACGGGCCTACTTGATATGTCCGTTGTACATATCAAGTATTACGCTTACACAAAGAAAGATTTTACTTTTTGAGTTGAATCAAAGTCACAGAGGGAGAGAACTAGACTCTTTTGGATAAAATTATTAAATTAACCACACCATAAGGACTAAATTTCAGATTATTTAATGAATTTTTACTAAATAGTAATAAAAGACACTTATAATCATTTCAAATGATTAAATGTTCATTCTTGTCACCCATCGAAGCTGTAAGAGCCCAAATGTTGAGCAGCGGTCAAGAAATGGTGATAAAACCCGAGTTCTATGGCACTCCACTCTCCAAATTTCCACGTTACCTCCACCATGGGGACTTTGAGACCCGACAGATTTAACGAACATCAAGCCTTCTACATGGCACGTACCGGGACTCAATAAGAACACGGCCAGGATCTTTTCAAAAAAAATATGTTATAGGACCTCGTCTGTAAGAGTTAATAAACAAGCCTAATGTCTGACCACAAGATTTTAGGAAAAGTAGGGGCGTTTCGCATTAGGAATTTTGCACGTAACAATTTGTAACAGTTTATGAAAAGTAAGCAGCTATCTATTGTGTTTGTTACTGTGTAAATATGTACTACGCGACATTTCAGAAAAGCAATTGAACGAATCATAAATTAAATTTGGCTCCATTTCCGAACTTTGCCTTGGTTTAATAACAATTAATTAATATAAATAAATACCGTATTGACTCGAATCTAAGCCGCACTATTCTTTCCGTGTTAATGATACTGAAAATCGGGTGCGGCTTGGAATCAAAGGCAAAATATTTGTTGGATGGGAGAAATTCAGTTTCCACCCTTTTCAAAAGGAAAAATGGAACCACCTACTCTGGCCACTTGCATCGATTCCATTCCGCACTTTATCTTCAGTCTAACATAAACATCGTTGTCTTCTCATATTTAGGATATTTTTTTTTGTCTGCGCTTTCTTTTAATCAGCTCAACCTCAAAGATATCGGTAATAGCATCAAGATGAGTTCTCTGTGACACAAGCATGAAAAGGTAGGCAATTTTATATGCAGAAAAAAAAACGGAAACAGAGCAGTGGCCACTGAAAATTTGACAAAGATGAAACAATTATATGTCAATGGCATAAGCAAAAGGATATAATTTTTGCTTGTAAATGTTCAACAGTCCACATTCTTTTATAATACATTCTTTTAAAAAATGTTGCATACCAATGCATTGGATGGCATGGAATACGACACCGTGTGGAAAAAGGGCGATGTCGGGACCCATTTCGAAGTCAGCTATGACAATGGGAGTAACGAATCATTTTTAAAACATGATACCAACGGTTAGAGTAATTATAGGCTCATATATGTATTTGAAAGTTTTTAATACTGGTAAAATTAATTATTAACTTTTCATTATTTCTCATTAAAAAAAATTTTTTTTCTTAAGGCTGTTTTCGGTTTATATTAAATGTTAAAGAATGGGACCCGAATTTGGAACATTTTTTCAGATATAAAAGAAATGGAAAATTAATGATATTCTGGCTTCACTATCCTTTAGAGAGCAGCATTTTTTTATCATACTTCCCATTTTTAACCGAGTTGATTCATTTTTTCTGGTATAAAATGTGTTTCGCATTTTTTTTCCTATACCGTAATGTTAAATGAGCTTTGCCTTCACATATTAAGACAAAAAAGAAAGTATTCACGGAATATTTTGAGTTTTAAAAACACTATATTGTTAACAGAGGTACGAGTCAGAATGCTGCAAATTTCCGTGGAAATTGGGTCATTTTTCTGTCTGAAAATGTGCATCGCATTTAGTTAGAGCTCTCGTACTTTTACCGAAGACAGCCTTAAGTATCGGATATTGATGAACTATTTACACAATGTTTTCTTTTTTCTCAGAAACGTGTAGAGAACTGAGGGTGTGGCTTAGATTCGATGGTGGCTTACATTTGAGTCAATACGGTATACAAAATTCACAAGATTACTAGCTTCATAAATTGATTTTATTTATAATAAGCATACCTCTAGAGTTCCACAATGGATTGATGAAAAAAAGTGCACTTCTAATTTTGATCTTTTTTACGGATGACATTTTTACAGTATATAATCTGAGTACTTTTAATTACAGTTGTGTGAATTCACTAATCTATAGTTACAGAAGGTCATTCGCACTTTATGGAAACGATTTTGTATTTCATTTTCTCGTTTGTATTTTAAAATAAAATTTTGGAAACTTCTGAATAATCATCTAAGGTTTTCTTTTATTGAAATGTAAAATAAAATATTTATTTTAAAAATGACTCCTATATAAAAATGATATTCGTATCAACAAATTAAAAAGCGATCTAAAAATTTCTGTTATTGCATTTCAATCAAAGGTATTTATAATATA